ATAATAATAATAATACAAAAATCCATGGGAACATCAGGTAGAGAAGGTGTCAGAAAATGAGGAAGTCAAGATCTTATGGGATTTCTGGATTCAAACTGATAAAAACCTTGAACATAACATATCAGACATAGCAGTAATAGAAGGAAGAAATGTCTGAATCATTGACATTAAAATTCCAGGGGATGCCAGAGTTGAAGCTAAAGAATTGGAAAAACTAACAAAATACTGAGATCTGGCAATCAAAACATCTCGCTTGAGGATAAAACACACTTCAGTAGTCACCGTAGTCATTGGGGCTTTTGGAACAATATCAAGAAATTTTGTACAGTATTAGAAGCAGTTGCAGATCTCAGAAATCACACCATCAGAGCTACAAAAAAATAGCAATATTAGGAACAGCATACATACTGCACCAATATTTAACAGATACTTAGGTTTTTCATTAAAATTTGTATCAATTATATAATACCAGTCTATATTTTCATAATTTTAATTGATTGTGCCTGGTATTTTTGACCACCACTACTACTAATCATCATCATAATGTGCAGCCAAGTCAATTTTGATTTAAGGCAACCCTTTTTCAGGGCTCCTCAAGTAAAGACTACTCAAAAGTGGTTTACTCTTCTTTAGAGACAACCTGAGACTGTGCAGTTTGCCCGTGGCCACACAGGCTGGCTCTACCCACATGAGGCATAGTGGAGAATTGAATTCCCAACCTCTGATTCCACAGCCAGGTACATAAACCACTGATCTATCCGGCTAGTTTACACTAGACTACAGAGTCATTAAAACTATTCCAAAAACTTAGCAACAAATCAACAAACACTTTTCTACTCCAGAAGCAGACAACAACACCTGAGAAAGAAAAATCAATCATCATCCGACCTATGCAGACACTAATAGTAATTTAAAGTTCACATCGATCACCTTTTCATCTTCATAATTGCCACCAAATCATCAGCCAAAAACAGTACAAATGAGAAAGAGAGATCATCATCCTGATCACTATCATCAGAGCCATGTAGGGTGGCACTACTTTATATTCTTCTTCATCAACCACAACAACAATGTATCATTAACAAGTAACTTTTGGGTTGCGAGGGAGGGTGTTGGCTAGCTCCTCATGACACTTGTGATGCTATGTGCTGCAATATCCCAATGAGATAATTTTACATATGTGGGTCAAACAGAAGTAATCCAACAAAGCAAATCAGAATTAAATCTGATATATTTGTGATCCTCTCTTCTGGAATACAGAATCATTTGATATTGATGCTCTCTCTTG